CAATATACCGTTATTTATAATGCTTTGTGTTTTTCCTATTCCTTGCACATAAACTACTAGTTATTAGGAAGCGTAAAATATTTTTATATGCATAGCATTTTGTTTCCGAATAGTTAAATATGTTTGTATGTACACAGGTACATCAGAAAATAACAAGTTTAAATTTATATAGATTACTGTTGCAATATCTCGTATAGGTTTGTATATATAAAATATTACATTTTTTAACTAAAAAATACATCGGCTTCAATATTGCCGTTAAGGGCGCAAAAATAAAAAAATAATCGTTAAAATAATGTCAGTAAAAGCAAGAAAATGGAACAAAATGAAACGTATCCTTTTCAGTTGCGGATTTTCTACTTTTTACATACATTAGGTATGAAAAAAGTAATCAATTTTCAAAAGCTTCCCTTTATTGTTAAATATTGTATGTTACATCGAATCACATCAGCGATGAGCTTTCGATAAAGCTTCGCAATAAACTAATAAGCTGACTCTACAAACTAAATCTTCAATAGACAAAAATTAACCTTTTGAATATTTTTAAACACTTTCCAGGTTTGTCACAGAAACGATTAAAATCTGTAAACATATCATATGAAACAATAAGTGAGTGAGGTCAGTACAATTATAGTATTTTATATGTATTTTTGTAGTGTATGGCGTAGGCTGTAAGTCCATAGCGCCTCACCTACGTGAAACTTTTGAGAATCGACGTGGGTTTATTTAAACCAGGTCACGTATGTAAGCCATTATTACGAACTTGCAATGCTTTTAATACAAAAATTGTCTTTATATTATTTATAAAATTGAGGTTTTATAATTGAAGAATTCAAAAATATATACATTATTTATGTTGCTGTCTGACTTACAGCACGTTACATTTACTTTTTCGCTCTTAAATTTATTATATACGATAGATGGGTCTGTTTTGTTAATATACTGGAGATTCTATCCCTTTTTCTTTAGGAAGGGTTTTTCAGCGAACTAATACAGGAAACATTCGATGTACCGGTTAAAAGTAGTTATTCTCCGGTCCATACATTGTCTATATTACGAGTATATAAAATATTATGACGTCACGTTGATGCTGTATGAGATAATCAATAAGCACTTTCAGTTTTAATGACATAACTAAAGATTTGTCTCTACATTGTGACTGATTCGTTGGTGTCCAGACAACCAACTTCTGGTTTAAAAGGGGCGTGAGATTCAAATCCATATTAATATTATAAATGTAAAAGTAACTCCGTCTGTTACTTTATCACGCTCAAACCGCTGAACGGATTTTGATAAAATTTGACAAGTTCATTGAATCTTGAGATCGGACATACCCTACGGTTGCCCTTGAACCTCGCTCTGCTTATCACGCATGTAAAGCCGGGAGCATAAACTAGTAGGATTTATTTTATATCAGGATATCCAATAAAAGAAGTAGTCGACCGAAGCACGCAACGGGAAAATATACTATATTTTACAAAACTTCATGCTCCCTTGCGAGGTAGTCAGATAGAACAATATTTTTGTAACATATTATAAAATATACTAGCGACTCTCCCTCGCTCCGCTCGGGTTCGTCCCTAGTGGAAATTTCCGTTTGTATGTACTTTTTAATATCGAAAAATTTCGTCAAAAAAATTTTTTTTTGGAGTGGACCACCCTGATCCCTTAGGGGTATGACTTAGTATACATAAAATTTTATAAGAATCGATCAAGCCGTTTCGAAGGAGTTTTGTTACAAACACTGTGACACGAGAATTTTATATATTAGATGTATCTTCAAATTATGTCTTCCGCAGTTCATAGAAATATAAAGAGATTCGAGGTGAGTAAAATAAGATAACTTTTATAATAATACCTTTTGAGGCATTTGCAAGGTCTCAAGCATATTTATGTAGTTACCTTATGTAGGTTATTACGTGAATGCAAAAACAGTGCTATTGTGATTTGTTTGTGAGATTTCAAAAGTAATTGCATTTGCTATTTAATATTGTCGCTTTATAGTGTTACTAGCGGCTCTTTTAAGTTTTTACGTTTAATAAAGATTTCTTAGAGATGAAATATTTTCCCGCAGTGAAAAGTATCCTATATATTTCAAATGAAATGAATACCTTGTAAAACTGAACCAATTTTAATAAGACTTTCTCTGGCTAATATAATCGATTCGTGTTCGATGAATAGAAGCTATTTCTCATTCCGGGAGAGAAAAAGAGAACCTCCTCCTTTTTGAAGTCGGTTGAAAATAGATCTAAGACGAGAAATAAGAAAATGCTCGACCGATTTTGATTGTCTTTTCTAGGAGTGTAGAGACTTCATCCTGTAGAGGTTTCGAGTGAGTTTTTAGTATTAATGTAACTATATTACACATTCGTGCTATAATTGATATACATCCTTTCATTGTTTACGTGAATTAAATGAACGTTTAAAGAATAAGATTATTATCTCATAATACACAGCCACCTTTTAACCATTTATTGCCATGCACTCAATACTTATGTATACATTAACACTGTGGGAACTGCAGTAGGAAGCCATGTCAATGACATCGGCCATACAACCAAGCATTGCACAATAATAGCTCTAAAAAATGTATAAACGCCATCTGTTACGTGCCTTTAGGCGATATAAAAAGTTGATTCCTTTTTTACCATGTTTTTTTTGTGTATAGTACTTGCCTATTCCATTATTGAAGTAATTTTGTTTTTACAATGCCTATATAATGGGTAGGATTAAATTTGTTTTTAAATCACTGATTAATTAATAATATAAAGAAGTCTTGTTTGTTTGAATGTTTTAAAAGACAAGCTCTGGAACTATAGAAACAATTTAAAAAAAAGAGAAAGAGAAAAGATAATAGAAAAGAAAGAAAATATAAAGCATTTCTTGTGAAATATAGGCTATATTTATTACTAGCGACTCACCCTGCTTCGCTGGGGTTCGTTCCTCGGTTAAGGAACTCCCTTAAGGAATGATTTTCGGGATAAAAACTATCCTTTGTCCTTTCCAGAGTCTCAAACTATCTTCTTACAGAATTTCATCTAAATAGGTTCAGTAGTTTCGGAGCCTATTCAGTACAAACAAAAAAATAAACAAACAACAATCTAATCTTTTCTCTTAGTAATATTAGTATAGATATAGATATAGTAGAGTTACGTGCAAAAGCTGTAAGTTAAGTTAGTTTATTGGCTGGAAACTTTATTGGCTTAAGATTTTTGTTTAGAAGTGTTTAACTAAATCTTATTAACTATACGCTGTTTGTTTCCCAATGATAAATAAATAAATAAATAATAATATTATTGTAAGTTAGTTATTATGTTAGTTATAAGTATTTAGTTATAGATTGTTATATTATAGCAAAACTAAAATACGTTACGTTTAATTCAAAAACTTGCAATACACCTTCTTGGGCTCGTAAAATTAATTTTATTTAATTAGTGCAAGTTTTGCGTTTTATGACTCAAGACCTTACTCGTAGGTAGTGAGAAAATTAATAGTTTTTTTGCAGTTTGAATTAAATTAAAATGTAGAAACATTGGTTAAATAAAAAATCTTTTATAATAAAAAAAAATAATGAAATTGGCTAATATTAATTTTGGCAAGTAATATACTTCATATATTATAAATAAAAAAAGTAGTTTACAGGTTCTTGTCCTGATAGGAACAAAATGTGAGAGAAATGTGGTAGGTTATTTTCTTTGTTTGTATTGCCTTCTACTTTGTCAAATAGGTCAAAAAAGATATAGCTTATAACTCTTTGTTGTTTCTGAAATTATTCTACTTTAGCGCAACGCAGCAGTGGGACGGAGCGATATTTTGCATAAATATTTATTAATGTTATAAAGTTTTAAGAATTTTTATATTTGGTTTAAAACAATAATTCCTGCTAAAGTCAGATTTTAATTCAATTCTTCTATTTCGTGGCTTTGAGGAGTGCTAGTTGGGCATAATTTATTTCGCCTATGTATCATACTACGGCAGGTAGGCACTAATTATATGTATATAAATAAACTAAGCGAGCAAAGGTATGCGAGAAATATAGTATTTGGATTTAATAAAGATATACATAGATTAATCGCCCTAATATTGATAGAATATCCCGTACATTGTACATTCACAAGTGCAAACTGCTAGTATTAAATAAAACACGCAAATACGAGATCAACTAAAAGGTAAACAATAATTTTGCACAAAGTACAGTAAAAAACATGAGAACGAAAGGAAACTCGTTACAGACCTTCACTGAAGCGTAACACTACCGTTGAAACCGTTCATTTACCGCCTGCCCTTAACCTAAAGGTCATATTAGTAATGCCTCGATGCTTGTAAAATGCTAGGATTCTATTATTAAAAATACTGTCAAAAAATATTTTTAATATTAAAATATTTCGCTTCTAATATAAAAAATGCCAGTTATTTAAGTAATTCCAGAGATTATCTTCAACACATTTAAAACAAAAAAATATTTTTTTAATTATATTTTAAGGTGTGATTATTTCATAGGGTTGTAATATCGGAAATTTAAACTATATAATTATGCTAAATTTCCGTTTAGCTGGCAACGCAGTGTCATTTTTTTTAACTGTAGTTCGATTTGATGGTGTAAAATATAGACATTTTTTGCCTCAAAATGACTTATGAAAAGAAATAGTGTTAGGTAATAATAATAAAGTATTTGGTGTCAGTAATGGCGGGAAATAAATGAAGCGGATGAAGGAGTCACTGCCCTCTTAGCTTAGTCTAGCTCTACAAACGGACCAAAGAAAAAAAATATATAAATCTATATCTAATAAACTTTTTCTCACTTTTCTATAAAATGTTACTATTACTTAATTAATAATAATTAAACAAAAAATAATATTTCATAATTAAACCTCTATTTATGTTTTAATTAATCATTATTCAATAAAAAAAATCATTTTATGTAATTAAATTGTTACAGAGATTTATTTATTGTTACAGAGAAATGTCTCGTTGGAAGGGCAAAGTGAGGTAGCCGGCAGATGGCAGCAGTTAGCGCGGCGATGTTTCGGCCCGGGGGCGCGCTAGACCCCCCACTATACGGTCAAAGGGTAAGTAGTTCACGTTTTAAATAATAGATGGCGTTGATTTCCAAGCATTATTTATAAAAATCTTTTAAATTATTATATTAACTTAAAAAGAATATTTAAAATTGTATAATTTTGTACAAAATGTTATGTAACCAAGTTTGTAAATAACTTAGGTAAAAAATATTTAGTGTTTTATTTCGGTATGGCTGTATGTATCAAGTTCTTGTGCATATTGCTTTGATCCTGGTAAAAAATCTAATTTGCGAACTCAATTCTGCGGGTATCAGTTTCCTTAATAAGATTTGTTTCTGATCGAATTATTTGTTACTTGATGTCGCATCAAGGTTCGCTATGGATTCATTAGTTAATCTTTTTTTTTTTGTTAAAATATTATATAGAAGTATTACATCTGACAAGATGATTTTACTTTTTATCTTTCAATTAAATTTTTTCTTTCTATACACTTTTTTTTATTTTTTCTTGTTCGAATGAATGAATTAATTACATACATTTATTTGAAATGTAGTTGGTACAAATTGAAAGTCATGACCAAATAGTTAAAAAACAAATGAAAGAAAATATATTATCGTCAATATATATAGTCGTATAATACAAGAAAGTGAAACCATAATTTATTTATTTATTCAATTATTCAACAAAAGAAAACAGCTGGAAAATCGAAAAGTTCAGAACTGTATATTTTATATCTACAGTTTATACTTTATATAATATATATAATATAAGTATAGTCTACGTATATGTTCCATAGGTATTAACCGTTAAAACGTGCCTAAGGATGAAGTGTGTCGCTAGTTATACCTACCATAAATCTAAAAAAAATCATAGATAATTATTATGATAAGTAGTTTAGAAGCAAGGAAGGGACAGATGAACATAATATACATACATACATACCGGTCGAAATCATAACCCTCCTTTTGCTTCCCAGTAATCGGTAAAAAAACAAATAAAAAAAAACTACCTACATAGTAAGTAATATGTTATTTATAAATTTAATATAAAGGTTGTTTATAAATGAATTAGGTACGAAATTAAAAATAAAGAAATACTATACTATAACGTTCTGACTTCTGAATGATAAATATAAATAAAAAAGCAATCATGAAGACTGCCGACAGAATTAACAATATACAGAAGATAAGAATAAACCTAAAACTATAAACGAACAGTTGTTATTTTTGGATATTCAAATTGTTTGATCTTAAATTAAAATTTATAAGCTAAAACTATTTACATTTATCTGGTTTCGACATCTATCGGCACTCTGAGTGTTAACGTTAACACGTCACGTGATCATGTCGTTGACAACTTACATGAATTTACTCCCAATCCAAACCTGCCTATAGAAGTTTTCACTTTAATAAACTTCGATAAAATTATTATTTGATTATGTTTTGTCAGACAATTTCATTCAAGCTGTTTATGGAATTTAAGCAAACAGTAATGGCGGATGTTTGACTGAGCCGACGGACATGCATTGATTATATATGCGTTGACAGGAATGTAAATACAGACTGGAGACGGATTCTCGATCGTGTCGTTTTACGTTATCTTATGTATTTATCAATGGATGAAAATTATTATAGAAATTACAGAATACAAATAAATGTATGATGGGTGATTTTAATTTAATTTATTCTAAAAGGTTATGTAAACTTCATTGCCCTTATAACAGACCAAGTTTAAATCACTTTCAGTGTTTGAAGAGGTCATAGACTTCTTTTTGTAGAGTCACCGTTTTTTATGAATGTAATAAAATAAACTAGCATAACTATATTTAGGTGATGAGCAATAAAGACAATGTTTGGGCGAAAAATGGACAGTTGTGAAGTTTTATGATATTTGGCTGTTGCTATAATATTTATTACGAACATTGCCCGCGGCTCCGCCCGCGTTTAGATGGCCAAAAACCAAATTCTTAGGTTTTACATATGTATTAGTATTCTCTAACATTGCAGTTTTTGTAATTTTTCTCAAAAATGAGATGTTTTCCGGTAAAAAGTATCCTGTATGTTGACCCGGATAATCAGCTATCACTATACCGAAATTTCATCAAAATCCCTTCTGTGGTTTTTCTGTAATGCGGTAACAGAGACAGACAGACAAAAATTCTAAAGACTATAGATTTGGCGTCTGTATCGATAATGATGTCTATTTCAATAAGATTTAGCAAAAAATATTTAATGTACAGATTTAGCTTAGTTACAATTTTATTATATGGTATACGTATAGATTTACAAATCAAACGTCAAAATAGAAGGAACTCAAAATTTAATACCTGTAGTTGAATATTAATAATTCGATATGTATTCTAACATACAGACATCCAAACTGTGCAAATTTATAGTGTGAATATAAATAAATAGCTTAAATACGCTTAAAATATTTCGAGAATTTACTACTTGGGCGAATTAATCGCGCTTATTAGCTAGTCTATGAATAGAATATTCTCATTAATTCTACATTACCGATATAAAATAATAAGTTGCGAGTAGAAATCTTGACTTTATTAGCATTAAAATATGAAAGCTACGCGAAATCAGATCTTAATTGCTCATTCAAGATGACATTGAAAGGCCCATGGCGTAATCACGAAGATCACGAGTAAAAGTTACAAGCGCCGTGAGAACCTTTGTGTTTTAGGAAAGTAATTGTATAAGAAAATTTTCTTGTGCAATGTAACATCACTGTTACAGAATTACTTATATCATTTTTATGTATTATGTATATAAATGAAAATGTTATGTTTGTTTGTACAAAACTGAAAATTTTTCTGCCGATTGCTTTGAAGTTTGACATGTTTTACAAAAATGCTGAGCACGGGCCTCACTTCACTACGAGGGGAATCAGGCCATAGTCCACCACGCTGGCCAAGTGCGGGTTGGCGCTATCTATGTACTTTGCTGTAACTTACAATTAGATAGTGCTGAAGCGATTTTACTTCCGTTAAAGATTGTCATGAACTTATCAAGATGTTTGAATACAGAGGATATTTAGATATTTTTACGTTTTCCATTTTGATGTAGTTGACCAATAGATTTAGTCAGGGCCATAGCAACGCGTTATTTACTTAATGCTCGTACTTTGCTAAGGCGCGCTCCAAAGGTTTATTTTGTAACAGATTAATGTTATATCGATGCAATAGATGTTCTATATGAAAAAAAAATATAATTAATAAAAAGGGAAATATCAACTCCATTTCTACGAGTATCACGCTTGCAAAGTGCAAATGAGCTATAACATAATAATTTTTCTAGTGACAATTGAAGATTTCTAACATGTAACTCCTGTCTTCAACATCAGATCAGCTGATTAACGATATCAAACTATTGTTTTATAATTCACATTGATTCGTTATAAATCAATTAATTAATAAATCGACAAACAATAACGTATTTGTAATATTATAAGAATCGTTCATAAAGCATAATGACATCTAGCCTTCTAGTGTGTTAAATGCGTATTTATTCTTCTACAAGACTATCCGTGTTTTATTTACATACTAGCGACATATCCTCGCTTCGCTCGAGTGTGTTCCTAGGTACGTTTTAATTTTTTGAGCGGAATCCTAATTCTTTTTCTAAAATAAATGTAGCCTAAATTATTCTTTATAACATCAGCTATCTGCCAGTGAAAATCCCGTCAAAATCTGTCTAGCCGTTTTGGAGTTTAGTCGAAACAAATAGGTAAACAGACATACAAAAAATTTGAAAATTGTGTTTTTCTTAAACGTACCTATATAATTTCATATGTATTTAGTTAAAAGCTGTTTTTTTGCATCACAAACAGACAATTCAATTTTAATTATCTGTATACATAGTTGATCATAATAATTTTTATATTAGGTACATTTTTAACTTAGGGCCATACAAATATAAAATTTATAAATTATTTAACGAACGAACTTTTTATCTCTTGGGATAACGTCACGAATGAAAATTACGTTCGTCGTAAAAGTAATAATCTGTAATTATTACCAATCCGCATGACTGCTTACGGTTAATCAACAAATTAGTTAAATTAAAATATTCAAATATAGGAATTTTTAGCATATTTTCTCAATATAAAAAAACCATAAACTCTAAATATGTACCAAACAGGGTGTAGTTTAGGTACAATTTATGTACTCCAACATTATATACCCCGGTTGATGAGTAAAGTATAAACAATAAACATTTCATATTAGATCTATTTACAATATAATACATACATACATAGTTGTAAATTATCTATTTCTATATTGAAATTATATTGACGATTCAAAAGCGTATTTTCATTTCATCTTAGTTTTATTTATATTATAAGGTAGTTTGATACCTTTTTTAAGTCGAACATTAAGGTAGGAGCTAGATATAAAAAAAAAACAATTTAAAAATTAAAAAAAAAAAATTGGTGCCAATTACAAAGATATTGCATGAAATACACAAAAAAATATTTGACAATTTAAAGTCTATCAAAATCATTATATATGTATTAATTTCATATTATATTGTTTTATATTCAAGCGTATTGTTTTTCGAATCTCAGTCAGCAATGAATCTCTCATCTTTCAGCCTAAACTAAAAGGTTTCTATGGATTTACAAGATTTACGTACTTCGTATGATTTATGTGTTCCCAATCAGGCTTCACTCGCGTGAGCCGATGGTCGACCGACCTTTACATGTAAAATTTATACCTAATTTTAGCTAACAAGGTATCGAAGTTACTTTTATCATGGATAAGAAAGATAAGTTAAAATATATTTGATAAACCATCATTCGCATTATAGACTGATTTTAATAATTGCATTACTGGCCACGTTTTGAATATGAAAATCGAATGTCATATTAATGTAATTATATGAAAAGTCACGTACAGTGATCGATTAAAATAAATTATAATTGATGAAATTTTATTGCAGTGTTGTGTTATTTTAGAGTATATATTAGTACATATTTACTCTACAAATTAAATGTGTTATAGTCACAAACTTCATCATTCTTTTTAAAGAACCTAAAGG